TTCCTAAGACACACCTCCGCCAAGACGGTGCTCTGTGTGATGCCCATCAACACGCTCCAGAATTGGCTGTCAGAGTTCAATATGTGGGTGCCCCGCTACACAGCCGACCCGAATGTTCGTCCGCGCAAATTCGACATTTATGTGCTGAACGATCAGCAGAAGACACTCACGGCTCGCGCGAAAGTCATCTTGAACTGGGTGCAGGAGGGTGGCGTGCTGCTGATTGGATACGAGCTGTTCCGGCTGCTCGCCCTGAAGCTGGTGAGAACTCGCAAGCGGAAAGGCGCCAATGCGTTCAGGGCCGATGGCCACGATGCAAGCAGTGATCTGATGAACCGCGTGTTCGAGGCACTCGTTAAGCCCGGCCCAGATCTGGTGATATGTGACGAGGGGCACAGGATCAAGAACTCCCATGCCGGCATTTCGCTGGCCCTCAAGCAAATCAGGACACGTCGCCGCATCGTACTCACCGGCTATCCCCTGCAGAACAATCTCCTGGAGTACTGGTGCATGGTGGATTTCGTGCGGCCAAATTATTTGGGCACGCGCACAGAGTTCTGCAACATGTTCGAGCGACCCATCCAGAACGGACAGTGTGTGGACTCCACGCCGGATGACATAAAACTGATGAGATTCAGAGCGCACGTGCTGCACTCGCTGCTGCTGGGCTTCGTGCAGCGGCGCTCGCACAAGGTTCTGCAGATCACGCTGCCACAGAAGCACGAGTATGTTATACTGGTGAAGATGACGGCGTTCCAGCGGAAACTCTACGACACCTTCATGACTGATGTGGTGCGAAAGAAGGCGTTTCCCAATCCCCTAAAGGCCTTTGCTGTCTGTTGTAAGATCTGGAATCATCCGGATGTGCTGTACAACTTTCTGAAGAAATGTGAGACTGACTTAGACTTAGAAATCGACGAAGAGCTTTCGAAGAGCGCGCCCACACCCACAATCACAGACTCCAGTCTAGAATCCAATCCTTCCTCAAACATGGCCGCATCGCCGTCTCCGCTCTGCGAGAAGAAGAGCAACGAGTCCACAGAGCTGGCTACCAGTTCCAATGAAACTGAAGGCCTGTTCAATATGCCGCCGGTAGCTCCCGAGCTGAATGCCAAATATTTAGACAAGAGCTGCAGCAGCCCCAATCTGGCCTACGGGGAGCCCCAACTTGGCCTTAATTATGGATCGTTTGGTGCGGAAACCATCGGCAAGAACAACTACTGGATGGAATCGAGCTGCCCCATTCTGTCCAAGCCAGGCTGTGTTGAGGTTATCAAACAAACGGATACGCATATGACAAAGGACTTTGAAAGTATTACGGGATCCTCGGAAATTGTGGATCTCGACACGAATGAGATCAAGACAGTCGAAACGAATATCCAATCTGCGTGCACCAGCAACCAGTTGGACAATGAAGCCAATACTCTTAAGCCAATTGGTGTCGTGCCGGGCCTAAAGAACGTTGCCGGCGGCGTTGGCATTGGCTTTGAGGCAAACAAAAAGCTGCTGAAGACCAAACGCAACGACGAATTCTCGTGCTCGTGGGCGGTCGACCTCATGAGGAACTATGTGGCTGGCCAAATAGAGAATTCACCCAAAATGGAGATATTCTTTTGCATCCTAAAGGAGAGCATGCAGTTCGGTGATCGCATATTGCTCTTCAGCCAATCCCTTCTCACATTGAACATACTCGAGGGCTATCTGAAGACCAGCTACGTACCGGGCACCAATCAATTTTGGGCCAGACATTTCTCATACTTTCGTGAGTGTTGCGCAAAGTGGAGCTTGCTTTTTATTGAAACTAATAATTGATTAACTGCAGGTCTGGATGGGTCCACTTCCTCGCAGGAAAGGGAGCGGCTAGTCAATGAATTCAATGCAAATAGTCAGGTGAAACTGTTTCTCATCTCAACGCGAGCTGGCTCATTGGGCATCAATCTGACTGGGGCGAATCGTGTCATCATATTCGATGCCAGTTGGAATCCCTGCCACGACACGCAAGCTGTATATAGGATTTATAGGTGAGTGGAACACGAGCACAAGAGCAATCCAATAATAATTATTGTACCTTTAGATATGGACAGACAAAGCCTTGCTATGTGTATAGAATTGTAATGGACAAATGTCTGGAGAAGAAGATCTACGATAGGCAAATCAAGAAGCAGGGCATGTCCGATCGCATTGTCGACGAATGCAATCCCGAGGCACATCTCTCCATGAAGGAGATTACGAACTTGTGCCACGATTACGACTCTGATGATGAGGCCACGGAAGTGCCGAAAAATCCAACGCCAACGGAAGAGCCATCAAAGGAGCTACTCAAGCCGAAAGATGAGCCAGAAGAGGTGCCAGAAGAAAAAGAAGAGGAGAAGGCGGAAGATGTGAAAACACTGCCAGCAGCAGAGGAGCAAATAAAGCCCAAAGAGGAGAAAATAGAAACAGCAGAAGCCGATGCTGAGGGGGCAGCAAAAGTTGAGCCTGAAGCACAGAATGGCAACTGTGAGGATTCGCCGCCTAAAAAGGAAAAGGCAGAGACCCCGATACCCCATGTGCATGTGGATCCCATCATCAATACGCTGCTTGAGCTGCACAGGCATTGTGTGACCAAGGAACCCTTCCTGCACGACAGTCTGTTGGTAGATCAAAAGGATAGAAAGCTGTCGCAGGCCGAGAAGCGACAGGCACATCGCAGCTACGAGCTGGAAAAGAAGGCGGCCGTTAATCAAAAGTTTGCCTATACACCCGTGAAAACGCATTACAAGATTGTGAATAATGATGGAACAATTGTCTCACGACCCATTGCACCGGTGGGTACTTCAAATTATTGTATAATATATTATGTACTTATCTATAATGGTTTGCAGGTCAAGTCAACCACTTCTGTCTCGGCTGGAGGACGCACAACTCGTTGGATTCCCGCAGATGTGTGGCAAAGGCAGGGAATGACAGCACAGGAAATGACATTGCCATTAGGTATGTAACATCTGAATTAACCCATCGAATACCCCTCATAATTGAGTTTCTTTTCAAGATGTTGTCATACCCACAAACTCGTCGGACAAGGCCAATATTATACTAAAGGCTGGCCAACGGGTCATGGTTTTGAAGTCCACCAAAGGCATTTACATGCAGCTGGATAGTGGCAAAATTATAGCCATAAGGACAACGGCTAAAAATGAAACGGAAAAGACGAACAAGGACGACGTAATTGACATAACATCCGATTGTGACACAGATATGGCAAAGCCACAAACGCCCGAGCAAGGTATTGCTTGTATTGATCGTAAAGTAGATTAAATATTCATGATATTCGTTCTTTATTGCAGAAACTGTCAAAGATTTAACCACTGATGACGAGCCACATATCGTGAAGAATAAGGAATGCACGCAAACAACTACAAGCCGGCTGGAAATGTCCTCGAAGGAGCGAAAACAACCCACAGAGAATCTACAGCAATTTAAGCCACAAACGCAACCAAATAATACTTTAGCCGCCACCACACAAGTGGTTCCGAATCCACATCAGATGCCTTGTGACTTGAACTTTCCGCCACAGCCACAGGGGCAGGGGCAGCCACAAGCGCCGACGCAGCAGCAACAGCAGCAGCAGCCGTACAAACATCAGAATCATCTACCTGCAGGCAGCGAGGGCTATAATAGTGCCAATCCTGTACAACCGAATGTGCCACTGCCGCCGCATGCTCATGCGCCTGCTCCCAACGGAACAGAGACTGCAGAAAGTTCATATTTCCAGGCTAAGCATTTTCAGCACTCATATCCACCCCAGTACTATGATTACTATGACAATAAGCACAAGGCCACACCGCCAGCAAGCGGCGGATATCACATAAACAACTACACCTCCTATGGCAACTTGAATTTCTCACCCTACCATTCCAATCTGCACCCATCGGCGGCCAGCTATATCGGTGGACCGTCGTCGTACGTCAACTCAAATGTATTTCCCAGACCACACTGGAGTTCGGTTGTAAATACGCCAGCGTCAAATGAGTCTATTCGACAGCCCTCGTATATCGGGAGCACTACTTACCCAATCAACGAGTGGTCGTCGCAATAACGAATGTAAATAAATTCTGCTCCCATTCATCTGTGTCCAGTAAGGGGCGAAGCATTCGCCGCCACCGCCGCCACTCCTCCTCAAACTTAATTTTAATCAAAAGCAGAAACAAACTGATCTTTTTTATTTGGTTTTAATTTTGTGGCGGTGTTAATGTTGCGCGCGCTTCGTCGCTGTTAGTTGAAAAGTAGGGGGAATCGTATGTAGTTTGTGTTCTTTTATTTATACTCAAAGAGCAACAATGTTTTTGATTAGTTTAAGTATTTGTTCTGTTCGAAACGATTAGGAAAACTGCCTGCAAACATCATTACTATATATATTATTAGATTAGACAATTATTGAGATCAGAACATTACTGATCGATAAACCAAACAGAAATGCTTCCTAATCCTATCATTGTGGCTCCTTTTACTTTGTCGCTTTGGGTATTTAACCTCTTGACTGGACAGATGAAGGTCGGGGCTTTATTCCTTACCATTAAGTTATTTATTACAATATTATAGTGAATGCCCCCTCCCCCTTAAATTTATACATTTTCATTATGAAAAGATGCAAGCGAACATGAATAAATATTCTTATCTTAGATTTTAACATAGTCTTTACACAACTCGTTCTACCCAAGTCTATTTAATATAATTTAGTAACCCATCGATTTATGGGCTAGTAAAACTCATTCGAGCAAAAAAACATTCAATGATTGGTCTCTCTCTTGGCTACCCTGAAAAAACAAACAAAAAACATTCGAAAACATAAACAAGCTTTGATTAACAAAATGTTAGTTGTAAGAAAATAAAATAATGGTATTATACAGAAACATTCTCGACAGTTCTTCCTTGCTGAACTTTGTTTATAAATGTAAAAATCTGTGACCTGTTTCCCGCATCTCCAGAACTCTCCAATACCAAAGTAATAACTCGTGTGGTTTGGGTTTTTATTAATTGACAATATATATATTAAGGATTTAATATTTACAGCACACATTTCTATAGGAATTATAGTCAATACAATAATATATAAAATGTGTGAATCCCCGCCTTACCGGCGGATGGAGCCGTTGAGCGGTAAGTAGGGAGAATACGTTGGATACATCGGATTGGATTGCGTCGCTCGCTGCAACACGCATGCATCTTGGTACTGAGATTGCATATTCATGACGCCCATTTGCATCGGGATCTGGGAGTTGGGATACTCGCCGCTTGAGCTGTAGCCGCCGGTGGGCGGGGACTGCTGCGGCGACATTCTGTAGCTGTTGATCGCCCCATAGGAGGCCATCAGATTGGGACTGATGTGTACATTGGGGGTGCGATTGTTTGTGCTGCTCATCGGCGCCGAGGTGTGCTGCACGGGTGCGGACGGTGTGTTCCGCGTATTCCGGCTGGGATTCTGCGTGGACGCAATTGGCGCAATGTTCATGTTGCCGGGATAGTACTTGTGGTACTGCAGCGGTGCCACCTGCGTCTGCAGCATGTTGGGTGGCGTGGATATGTTCCTGTTCTGCATCAGCAGGTGCGGTGGCGGTGTCATTGAGTTGGGTGGTATCGGATGATGCGGCGATGGCGCTAGATTTACTTGAGCACCCGGCGACGTGTTGCATGGCTGACTCTCGAGGCAATTCGTTAGCTGTTGCAGCTTCGAAAGACTGCACAGATTGCCTGCCAGAGAGGAGCCGCCGCTGGTGCCGCCACTGCCACTGCTGTTCGAACCCGAGATGGACTCTTGCGTGGCCTGCCGCTGGTCGTTGTTGTTGTTCGCTCCAGCCGATGGCGGACCCAACGAACTGGACACTGGCACACGCGGAGCATTCTCGCTGGCGGGCATGTTGTTTTGCAAGTAGAAGTTGTTGACGGCACACGCCGAGGACGGCTGCTCGATGCGCTGATGGCTGTTCGCGAGCGGATGCACGGAACTATTGAGCGACATCCTCTGCTGTATGACAGCTGGCGGCATGCCCACAATGTCATAGTTCGAGGGATTCGTCGCAAAGTTCTGGCTGATCTGTGGTATCGGCACATAGTCCAGTGGCTGCATATTCTGCTGGTGTCCATACTGCAGATTGTGCAACGACTCCTGATGCGACTTTGGAATATTCGAAGCGGCGCCCTGCGGTATCTGATGATGCGCATTTGTCGTTGTGGCTGTCGCAGAAGAGTTTTTGGCATCCCGCTGCTGTGCAGCATTGCCACTGCGTATTTGCTTGGGTGTCGTGGCACGATGCGACGGTGTGGGGGAACTAACGTTTGCATTATCCGCCTGCAAGGGAATATGACGAAAAGAGATTAGAACTGTCAACCAATTGGGAGCATTTGCTTTAGCCTTACCTGCGTATTCAACTTCCTCGTCTGATGCTGATGTTGCTGTTGCTGTTGTTGCTGCTGTTGCTGCTGCTGGGCGTTGCTCAGTAAACTAATGTTGGGCGATCCCTCGGGTGCTAAATTCATATTCAGATTGTTCTGCTGCTGCATGTGCGAGTTCTGGATGGACATATGCATGGGCGTGGTGACTGGCTGGTTCTGCATGGAGCAATCCGAGTACTGCCTGTGAGGCTGATGCATGTGCACATTGGACGTGGCTGCCTGGATGTTGTCGGTGCCGTGATTAATGGCACTACCAATGTTGGCGGGTGATTCCATATTTATCTGCGCATTGATGCCGCAATCGTAGTGCTGCTGTTGCTGCTGCTGTTGTTGCTGTTGCTGCTGCTGTTGCATGCCTGATGCCGCCGCCTCCGGGCTGTAGACCATATTCGGATTGACCTCGGACTGCCCGGGCACCTGCAGGTTCGAGTGTTGCGGCGCTGCGTGAATGTTTGGATGACCAATTTTAATTTTACTCTCTCGCGAAATCACTGGAACTGCGTTGACGCCGTGCTCGAGCTTCTGCTTGGGCGCAACGGAACCTCCTGTCTGTGGATTAACCGAATTCGGCAGCAGACTCGACGCTTCAGCTTGGTTGGGAATCGGATTGGCATTGGGATTGCCCTGTCGTGGCACCGCGTTCTGTGCATTGGCCAGGGACTTCATTTGCTGCGCCTGCTCCGGCGATGGCTTGAACATCTTCTGCTGTGGGGCACATTTCTGATTGTAGATCGCCGCCTGATTGTTCACGCCGTACTCGTTGCAGCTGCTGTGACCATGAGCTGCCTCCTCTCGCGATCCACTGACCACATTTCCGCTGGACAGTAGCTTCGGATGCTCATCCTTCTTGCCCGTGTTCTTGCGCTCCTGCTTGTGCTTCTCCTTGGTCTGATGAATCTGGTGGTGTGTGGCCGCGTGGTGCATGGCCAGATGGTTGGCCGACTGATACAGATTCTGCGTTAGATTGTGCGTGTAGGCCATGGTGGTGGCCAGATCCTTCTGGAACTGCTTCTGGCCCTTCTGCGTGGCCGAATCCAAGTGGAGATTGTAGCTGTAGTAGTCCCACTGCCAGTACTGCGAGGTGTGGTGATAGTTGGGCATCTGATTGATGTTAAACTGACTGGGAATCGGATTCTGCAGCTGCGTGTGCTCTGGTATTCCCTTCAGCTGCAGTTTCTCCCGCACCACGGGCACCATGTTCGAGGGAGGGGGAGCAGGAGCTGGGTGTCCTCTCGTATTCGATTTGTCCTCCTCCTTCACTTGCACCATGTGATGGTCTGGCTTCACCACATCCCTCTCGGGCAACGCTTTCATCTTGGCAGCGTCAAACTTTCTTTCTGCGGCATAGGCCTGATGCACCTCGGGCTTTACCACAGGCTGCACTGTCTCCTGCACGGGCTTCTTCAATGGCTTCTCCTTGACATCCGCATTATCCTTGGCCATCAGCTGATTACTCTTTTCCATTGTGGGAGGTTCTTTGAATGGCTGTGGCTGTGCCTGTGACTGTGGCTGAGCTTGAGCCTGCGCTTGTAGATGGAGATGTGGCTGCGGCTTTGGTGGATCCACATAGGAATGTGTAGCCTCCGCACGCTGATGGGCATTGATATTCGTGTTTCCATTGCCAGCTGGTTGATGTGTGGGTGCCATCACTTCGAGTTTTTTCACTTCCATTGGTTTCTGCGCAACGGGCACCGGCACTGGCGCTTCGTGTGGCATTGCAGCTGCAATTTCCTTGGGCTTTTCATGCGTTACTGCCGCAGGAGGAGCCACTGGAGCTGGTGGCTGTACTGGCGGCAGTAGTTCCGTAAACACCGATGCCTCTGGCTTCAGGCAGCTCAAATCCAGATTTGGTTTCTTTTCTTCTGTCATGCGAACGGGACTGCCAGTCTTTACCAGCACTGCCACAGGCTGCTGCTGTGGGGCCAGCACAGGAGGTTCTTCTTTTTTCTCCACCACGACAGGACTCTTGGGTTGCACGATCTTCAGCTCTGGAGCAGCTGGAGCTGGAGCAGCGGGTGCAGGTTGAGCTGGAGCTGGTGCTGGTGCTGGAGCTTCAAGCTGCAGCAGTTTATGCTCCTTGACGTCCGTCGCCTCTTTTCTTGGTTCGTTTGCATGCTCCGTGGACTTTTGCGTTACGCTAAACTTGACTTCGCTCTCAGTGTTCGTATTGTAGGACGTTGAATCGGAGAAGACAGTCTTTTTAGTTTTCTTGGCCACGGCATCTAGGACCTGCTCGCTGATGCTACTGTTGCCTTCCGCTTCGCTCTTCTCCGGCTCGGCTGCTGCCTTGACAGCGACATCAGCGTTGGCTGTTTTCAACGGCTGCTCTTCAGTGGCTGACTGTTTGCTGGGTGCTGCAGCTGGCGCTGAAACTGATGCTGCAGCAGGTGCTGCTACTGCCTCTGTGGCTTCTGTAAACTGCGACTCCTCGGATCGCTTGCCATTGGACTGCTTGCCCCTGAGCTTGGGCACGATATTGACAGGCTTGTCGGTATGTTCAGTCTTTTCGGCCTGACTCCTGCAGACGTCCTTGGAGTGTGGCTCTTCCGCGACAGATGCAGCGTCCACCGTAAGCGTCGTCTCTGGCTCGCAGCTCTGCTCGACACTATTGTCTAGTTGCCGCTCGAAATGCTTTCGCTTGTTCGTGTGCGGAATCATGACGCCATCATTGCGCTTCGCCAGTCTCTGCGCTCGTTTGGTCAAGTGCTCGGACAGCTCGTTCGAGTTCTTTGAGGACTTGCAATCGGAAGAGTCCGAGTTGTCGCCAAACGAGTGATCATCGGCCGCCGCCTGCTGCTCCAGAGCTAGCTTTATCTTCTTGCTCACGCTTGCGTTCAGCTTCAATAACTCCTCGCTGGAGCGTCGCTTTCGCGGTTGTTCCCGCTGCTCTTCCTGCCTCTCAGCGATGCGATTTTTGATGTGATCATCGCTGCCACTGGTCGCTGGATTCGCTTCCGGCTTCGCAGTGGTAATACTTTGCTTAGCCACCACGACTTTGGTGTCGGGAGAGGGAAGTTCCTTCTCCTTGTGGTCGGATTTCTGCATCAGTTGGTTGTTCAAGTACTCCCGATTGGAGATTGGTTTGATGATGTTTGGCAACTTGGACACAGACAACAGGGGACTCCAGCGCAGGCAGTCGGCCTCGATGAGAATGCGCGTCCTGCTGTTCGTCATGCGATTGTTGTGTGCCAGAACCTTCTTCCAGTCGATTTTTACGTTTATCTGATACCGAATGTCCCCGTCGTTCTTTCGCAATTTGATAAAATTCAGCAGCTCGAAGGCCAGCGCAATGTCCGATATGGCGAGGCCCGTTTTGATGGCAATGTCCTTGAAGGTGATCTTTGACTGATTGCGATACTTGTACAGATACTCGAGGACCACGGATTTCCAGTACGAAAAGTAGGAGAGACGCCCCAGATCCGAGAGCGGCTTCTCGGGCGTGCCCAGCTGTCCCTCCTCCCGACTCAGCAGATAGCTAAAGTCAATCAGGAAACGGCCATAGCCCTGCCGTTGGTACTGCGGCATGGTCAGGATGCAGGAGACATTGTACTTTTGTGTGCAGTGCTTCTCCTTCGAAAAGTATCCCACCAAATGGCAACCGCTCTGATCGTTCTTCGTTAGGATATAGAACAGAAAGGGCTCCACGTCGTAGTAGAGCGTCTTGTGGTCCAAAAAGAACTTGGCCAGCAGGCACAGGTTCTGGCAATAAATCTTGTTCACATTGCCATCCACCTCAAACACCGAAATATTCCCCTGGCGAAATATCTCAGTGCCCGGCGGCTGCTTCCAGATGCACTTGTTCTGATGCCTGTCCAGCACAGAGCGACTTTTTGTATATTTTAAACAGAATTCACACAGAAAGAGTTTAATTAATCTGCAAAGAGAGATGGAAAGTATTAAGTTCTCCGACTTTTGGCGGCAGTTCTAGGGCAGTACCTGGCGTACTCCTGCGGGAATGGACTGGAGTACCATGTCTCAATGTCCCATTTGCCAATCTGTATGGACTTGGGACTGAGCGTGTGCTGTCCCTGCTTCTGCTGCGCCACATCCGTCATCTTCTGACAGTTGTTGGACATCTGGAGAACCGCTTTGTGGAGCACTTCCTGATACAGATCCACATCCACGGGGTTAACGCATGGCGGCAGCGGCTGATTCTCTGTAAATTCAAGTTATTAATGATTGGAATGGCAAGGCATAGTTTTGGCTCTTCAGCCACTTACCAAATGGATTCGTACGCTTCATGTTTTCTGTGCACAAATCTTCCGATTCGGGATTTGTTTTGCTTTCGCTTTTTGTGTCCCGACAACGACCGATTTGCTCCATCATTTGACACTTTAATACAGTCTCCTCTGTGAGGTATGGAATGTCCTCCTCCTCTTCGCGTTTCTCGTATGATTTACCCACATCGAGGGGCATCGACTTGAGCGGCACAATCTTTTTCTTCTGCAAGTTTGACGAAGATTTTGCATCTGCCTTGTCGGCTGTTGCCGCCAATCCTATTGGACCGGCACCCTTTGTGGCCCTAACGAGTGGCGATGCTGCTGCTGCTGGTGTCGCATAGCCTCCAATACCCTTGGCACCCGCATTGTTCTTGGACTTGACAAATATATCTATCGGGTTCTTGGCAACCGCTGCAAATCCCCAATTCTCATTCGCCACTTCATTGGTTTCCGGCGAACCACTCAGTCGATCCCTGGCACCGCCTCCGGCATTCAGCTTGCGGCAATTGTTCTGTTTATCATTCTCAAACAGCTTTCCCTTTAGCGTGCTCCGATCGGTGTCGTAGTCCTCCTCGTCATTCTCATCATCGCACTCTGAACTGTCACTGGAACTTTCGCTCGAGTCCGAGTCTGAGCTGGAGGATGTGCATGAATCCGAGCTGGTGCTCTCATCCTGATCATTGTCATTCCTGTTCCTGTCATCGTCCTCGTCGTCATCGTCCTCGCTGTCACTTGAGGAGCTCGTCGACGATAGATCGGAGAATGTGCGCTTTCGCGTCTCTTGGCTGGCGATGTAGCCTCCCTGTAGTATTTGTGACTTCCGCTGCTTCGAGTGGAACTCGAATTGATCCTCGTTTATGTTTAGTTTCCTGGCATTCAGCCCAGACCCCGACAGTTTCCTCCTCTGGCCATTGCCATCATTGTAGACACAAAGTTTCGAGGTAGAGGGACTCTCGGCATTGCCCTCCCGCTTGATAATCTGTCGCTTGCTGAAGCCGACTCTGTCGTACGATGAATGATGCCTGAAAATAATCATATTGAGTGCTTAGAAGCTTAGAGTTGGCTCTGTCTGTAGCTTACTTTTCATTTCCATCCTCCATTTTGATCTTTGTGGCATCCTTTTTCAAGAGTTTTGGATTATCAATGCTCTGCTTCGAGCACGTCTTGCATCTGCAACAGAAATGTTGATTAATATCATGGCAATCCAAGGGTAGAGCATGCTGAGTAGAGTGTACCTGTAGGGATGCTTGGGCTTCTTGTCGGGTATCGTGTCGAGACATGTCAGATGATAGTGGTCCTTGCAGACGGAACATTGCAGCAGACAGGGTCCACGGTTGCGCATCTTGCAGACAGCGCAATCGGCGCAGCTCTGACAGTCCCACAGGGTTCCCTTGGTGACCAGCATGTAGAGCAGCACGTACGACTGTGACTTGCATCTGCCGGCAATGTTTGCGCATGTGGTGTGCAGCGAGATGCCACACTGCTTGCAGGAGCTTAGGGGTTCTGGAATGCCATTGAGGTTTTTCTGAGAGTTACCGGAACAGTGGGTGCACGTGTCCTCCCCCTTGATGACCACATCCGTCTGGGGTACGCACTTTCGTGGCGTCGTCAGGGACTTGCCCTTCTTGTAGAGTTTACCCTCCTGGAGCAGAAAGCCAGAGTCTACGGCCTTCTTGATGGACGCCTTAATGACCGTCTTGAAGTCCACATTGGGCGAGAGATCGATGCAGTTGAATTTCTGAATGTAGTTCTCGATGCTCTTCAAGGTGGAGCCCTCGCACTCGCCCAGATCGTGCACCGCCTTGGCCACCAGCTTGCACAGGTTCGTGTTCTTGTCCACTTTGACCCGACGCTTGGCCATGGGCGCCTTGTACGAGTGCAGGCCCTTGTTGTAGACCTTAATCACAGCACCCGAGTCCACGGCCTTCTCCAGCTTCTCGGCCACGATGTCCTCGTGGAACTTGTGATGCGTCCCGATGGCCTGGCATATCCTCTGAACGGATGGCCTCTGTTTTTGCGACCTGATCTTGGATATCGCCTCCAAAATCCACTGTATCCACGTCTCCATGCCGATGTCGTGTGCCGACTCCCTCATCATGTTCACTGAAGTAGGGTACATAGGTATAAGAAAGCGAACTTGTATTAACCACGGGGAGAGTCTCCGAATATTTGTGCAATATTTCTGAGCAACTATTGGTTCACTTCACTCGTTGCGTGCGCACATTCGAATATGCAAATAGGGTCTGAAGTTCCGGGTAGACCGATTCCAAACAGGGTTCACTTCATTTTATTTGATGTTTATGCGGGTACACTTTCAAGCAGTGTATATTGTCGATAAACATAAAAGCATTCTCGAATTTCGCCAACAGCATCGGATATTTGATTTTCAAGAATGCATGCAAATAATTGTATGTATCACTTTGCACAAAACTAACTCCTATGGCAATACATATGTACTTAGTTTGCATATGTATGCAAGCGTGATGTGTACGTACATTTAAAATTAAATTATTCGCGAAATTAATTGATAGTATATCGCGGACGATAAGTATATCTTAGCTTCTAAGTAGGCGCTAACCACTGCACATATTTCCAGACATTTAATATGTTGTAACTAAATCAATTATTAATTTTTAATGAAGTTTGATCGCCACTGAGTATTAGAACACACACACACACACATAATAATATGTGTATAACTATTTGTAAGGCTTTACATACATTTTTCGATAGCACCGACTGGGGTAATAGTATCGTAAGCATTGGAACATGGAATAAAAACAGATGAAATGCTCATCTACAACAAAACACACCATGTTATACAACACTGTTATGGGAACAGACAGTAATATTTATAAAAGAACAAGTATTATTTGATTTTGTTTGCTGGGAGCTCTTCCTCAAACCATTGCAGTTCTCCTCCAATATGTTCAGAAGTGTCCTAATAGCCAAATAGGTAAAAAAACAATATATTACCCAATGATAATATTGGCGTTTTAAGGATTTTATGCATATGTACCTTAAATATTATAGCCGGAAAAATTGTATCATATAATTTATATTAATAGCAACATAATATATTGTGTTGATAGTTATGCGTTATTTGTGCCCATTCCATGTACAAGGCAACTGTAACTGTAATGTCATAAAGTCATAAGTTACATTAGCCAATAAAAAGGAGTATTTATAATCAGAAGAATTGATTCTTCAATCGCATTAAATTATTGTTTCAGTGGTCAAAGTCTGTGCAATCTAGAAGCTAGTAATATAGAATATCAAAATCGAGGAATCTGATTTAAGACTACGGTATATTTTACGGTATATTTTGAAAATGAAGAAGTATATTTCGGTATTTCGGTATCGATAATTCCGCGGTCACACTGTTCGGCTTTTACAATTTACAATTTACAATTTTGTTGGGAGAAATATGTCTAAATATAAGCATTAGAAATGGAATACGAATCTTCCGAATTCAGTGGTAATATTATAGAATTTGTGACAAGTGATTTTGTGCTGCTAGAATGTGTGTTTGTCTACATGATGCTGACGCGTTTGTGTTTTTGCACACATGTCATACACACACATGCATATGCATATAAACAATTATTTATTTATATCTGCACGGTGGAGAGGAAAGGAACAAACAAACGCACGAATATACACACATGCCACAATATGTGTATACTTATATTTCATATTTCTGCACGGGGGGTCCGGAGCACCCAAAGTGTAGTTTTGTTTCCCGCATACGCATTTGAAAAATCGAAACAGTCTGTCGAGAGTTTTGACTGAATAATTTGTGTTTAATGTACAAATAGTCAATTCCAATAAGAAGGAAATGGCTTACTCAATGGTACCGTGCCTAGCCGTTTCGTGTTATGAATTATGTCTGTCTGTATGTCTGAATAACCAACGTAATCACATTTTGGGTCAATGCAGCCCCTTCCCACCAACAACTATACCTACATATATACGTATATGTACTCTCCTGTCTCGTCGACACCTCTCTCCGTTAAAGCTGAATTCGTTTCCCCCCCTAGCCATGTTTTCACAAGGAGCCGCCTTGTGGCTTATTGGGTGCGGCGTTGCTTGAGATACGTAAAAATAAGAAAATAATAAATAATTAAATTATCCTTTTGGGTATCCTTTACAGATATAACCACAGGAAGCTGCAAGAAAAGGCTAAATTTTCTAAAATATATTCTAAGCGATACAACAGTCGATCAAAAATGGGCATCCGACTTGGGCGAGGACACGGAAGGGCATCAGTTCTCCTTGGACTATCTGCTCGACACCTTCATCGTGCTCTACGACGAATGCAGCAACTCATCCCTGCGTCGTGAGAAAGGAGTTTCGGATTTTCTTAAACTATGTAAATACTGAATACTATTAACATATTTGCATGGAACACAGATATATCTACCTACTACCTTCTACACTTTATAATTTCTGGATCTTTTTAAACCCCACTCCTCGGCAGAAGGTAATCTAATACTATTTTTTATAGACAGAAAGATGTTTACCCATAGTCGTGCCTTTGTGTGCTTTGTCTGTGAAACTGAAACCATTTGCATCGACCAACTACTACACTCATACAGCTTTTATTTATTATACATTTCGCATAGAGTTTTGTCTCTGTTTCTGTGCTTCTTAGAAGGTGTTCCGAATGGAGATGATTGCTCATTTATTTGTATGGGGAAATTGGAAATTTATCTTGACCCATTCATAATTAGCTTACCCTTTTCTTTTGCAGCTAAACCCTTCGTTCATGTGGTGCGAAAACTGCGACTGGGTCGTGATGATTTTGACATATTGAAAATCATCGGGCGAGGGGCCTTTGGTGAGGTATGCGTCGTCCAGATGATATCCACCGAGAAGGTGTACGCCATGAAAATACTGAACAAGTGGGAGATGCTGAAGCGGGCCGAAACGGCGTGCTTTCGCGAGGAGCGGGACGTGCTGGTCTTTGGCGATCGGCAGTGGATCACGAACCTGCACTACGCCTTTCAGGACAACATTAATCTGGTGAGCATCGAGTCGAATTCAATGGCTCTACTGCTGCTAACTTTCCCCTGTTTTGCAGTATCTTGTCATGGACTATTATTGCGGGGGCGATCTGCTAACGTTGCTGAGTAAATTCGAGGACAAGCTGCCGGAGGACATGGCCAAGTTCTACATTACCGAAATGATTTTAGCCATCCACAGTATTCATCAGATTAAGTATGTCCATCGGGATATAAAGCCGGATAATGTGCTGCTGGACAAGCGGGGCCATGTGCGGCTGGCGGACTTTGGCTCGTGCCTGAGGCTGGACAAGGACGGCACCGTGCAGTCGAACGTCGCTGTGGGCACGCCCGACTACATCTCGCCCGAGATTCTGCGTGCCATGGAGGATGGCAAGGGTCGCTATGGCACCGAGTGCGATTGGTGGTCCCTCGGCGTGTGCATGTACGAAATGCTGTATGGCGAGACGCCGTTCTACGCGGAAAGTCTGGTGGAGACCTATGGCAAGATCATGAACCATCAGAACTGCTTCAATCTGCCCACGCAGGAGACCCTCAACTATAAAGTGTCCGAGATGTCGCAGGATTTGCTTTGCAAACTGATCTGCATACCTGAGAACCGGCTGGGCCAGAATGGCATTCAGGACTTTATGGATCACCCTTGGTTCGTGGGCATCGATTGGAAGAACATTCGCTGCGGCCTGGCCCCTTACGTGCCGGAAGTTTCGAGTCCCACGGACACCTCCAACTTCGATGTGGACGACAACGATGTGCGACTGACCGATTCGATGCCGCCCTCTGCTAATCCCGCCTTCTCTGGCTTCCATTTGCCCTTTATTGGCTTCACCTTTTCGCTGAACACCAGCTCCCCCGCTGACTCGAAGGCCAATCAGAGTTCTGGCTTCGAGGATGACAATACCTCGTGCAGCCTGCAGCAATCCAGCAATCTGCCGAGCAACAACTCGGAGGCATCGGTCGACTCCGTGCAGGACAAGAAACAGATGAAGGCATTGACCGAACAGATAGCTGCCTTTAAGCAGGAGAAGCTCGAGCTGACGAAGCAGCACAGTGAGATATTCGAGCGGCTGAAGACGCAGGAGGCGGAGCTGCAGGATGCCATTTCGCAGCGCAATGTGGCCATGGTGGAATACTCGGAGGTTACGGAGAAGCTCTCTGAGCTGCGCAATCAAAAGCAGAAGCTCTCGCGGCAAGTGAGGGACAAGGAGGAGGAGCTGGACGGAGCCATGCAGAAGAACGACAGCCTGCGCAACGAGCTGCGCAAGTCGGACAAGACGCGGAGGGAGCTCGAGCTGCACATTGAGGATGCGGTCATTGAGGCCTCCAAGGAGAAGAAGCTGCGGGAGCATGCCGAGGAGTGCTGCAGGCAGCTGCAGCTGGAGCTGCGCAAATGCAACTCCAGCGTGGAGACGACCATGCCCATGAGCATATCCTCGGAGATGTCTTCGTACGAAATCGAGAGGCTGGAGATGCAATACTCGGAGAAGCTCAACCATCAGCAGACGCGTCACAATCTCGAGATGGAGGCGCTGCGCGAGCAGCTGGAGAACTCGAATCTAGAGCTCTCCAAGGAGCTGCATCAGACGCAGGACAGGCTGAAGTACACGCAACTGGAATCGATTACGGACTCGGCCGAGACGCTGCTGGAGCTGAAGAAGCAACACGATCTGGAGAAATCTTCGTGGTTCGAGGAGAAGCAACGACTGAGCACGGAGGTGAGCCTCAAGGCAAAGAATCTGAAGGATCTGCAGGCCGAAGACGATGAAATCTTCAAAGAGTTGCGCATGAAGCGAGAGGCCATCAACCAGTGGGAGCGCCAAATGGCTGAGATCATCCAGTGGGTGTCCGACGAGAAGGACGCTCGCGGCTACCTGCAGGCGCTCGCCACTAAAATGACCGAAGAGCTGGAGTATCTGAAGCATGTTGGCACATTCAATAACAACGGGGTGGACAATAAGAACTGGCGAAACAGGCGCTCCCAGAAGCTGGACAAGATGGAGCTGCTCAATCTCCAGAGTGCGCTGCAGCGGGAGATCCAGGCCAAGGCCATAATATCCGAGGAGCTCAGCCAGACCCGATCCGATCTGATATCCATACAGAAGGAGGTGCGCGACTACAAGAAGCGCTACGATTCTATTCTGCACGACTTTCAGAAGAAGGAGACCGAGCTGCGGGACCTGCAGAAGGGCGGCCTCGAGTATTCCGAGTCGTTCTTGAACAAGTCCACGCACCAGGGCCTGAGCAGCGCCTTCTTCCGGGATATATCCAAGAGCGAAATGATTGATGCTGCGGATAGTTTTGGCAACGACTCGAGCGACAGCTTCATCGGCACACCCAATTTCTTCCAGTCTGGAAACTCTGGCATGCTCTTCAATTACGAACCAAAGTATGCGGGCAAGAGCAAAGATGGTGGCTCTCTGGCAGCCATGAAGGATGCCTCGGTGAGCGACATATCGCGCGAGGATGCCGAGCTGCTGATGAAGGAATCTCAAAAGAAGGTGGCCAGCAGCAACCCCTCGAACACAGCCATCCATCAGTTTTTGGTGCGCACTTTTAGCAGTCCCACAAAATGCAATCATTGCACATCGCTGATGGTTGGACTGACGCGTCAGGGTGTGGTGTGTGAGATTTGCGGCTTTGCCTGCCACACCATCTGCTGCCAGAAGGTGCCGACCACCTGTCCAGTTCCTATGGATCAGACCAAGCGGCCGCTGGGCATTGATCCCACGCGTGGCATTGGCACCGCCTACGAGGGGTATGTGAAGGTACCCAAGTCGGGGGTGATAAAGCGCGGCTGGATACGTCAATTTGTTGTTGTGTGCGACTTTAAGCTATTTCTCTATGATATATCGCCCGACCGGTGCGCCCTGCCAAGTGTGAGCGTCTCCCAAGTGTTGGATATGCGCGATCCAGAATTCTCAGTTGGCAGCGTGCGCGAAAGCGATGTCATACACGCGGCCAAGAAAGATGTGCCATGTATTTTCAAGGTAATTACAGACTATGATCTAGAGGGACTTTAAATACATTGTATTCATTTATTTGCAGATCAAAACAGCGCTCATTGAGAGCGGTTTATCGCTGAATACTCTGATGCTGGCCGACAATGAGTCGGAGAAGTCCAAATGGGTCATTGCTTTGGGGGAACTACATCGAATATTGAAACGAAACAGTCTACCAAATACTGCTATATTTAAGGTCTACGAGATACTGGACAATACGCTCTCCCTCATACGGAATGCCTTGTGCTCTGTCATCATATATCCCAATCAGATTCTGTTGGGCACTGAAGATGGACTCTTTTACATTAATTTGGATCAGTATGGTACGCGACACTCACTCTTCCTCTGCTGGATGTGAATTGTTTGCTTAATACGTTTACTTTCCTTGCAGAAATTGCTCGTATTGGGGAGAGCAAAAAGATCCTACAACTGTGGTACATCGAAGAGGAGCAAATTCTTGTTATACTCTGCGGAAAGCAGCGTAATTTGCGGCTTTTGCCCATCAGAGCGCTAGAGGCTAGCGATGTTGAGTGGATCAAGGTGGTCGAATCGAAGAACTGCATTTCGGCCTGCACTGGCATTATACGCCGCTTCCCCAACATTGTGTATTCGTTTATAATTGCCCTGAAACGGCCCAACAATCACACACAAATCGTTGTCTACGAGATTAATAGAACGCGCACAAGGCACCAGAAGACTTGCGAATTTACAATTGGCTATTTGGCCCAGCATCTGCAGATCCTGTCCGATATGCGGCTGGTTGTGGCTCATCAAAGTGGATTCACCGCCTACTTCCTGAGGGGAGAAGCTACCGCAATGTGTAAGTGTGCAACCCACTGAATAATCCTTGAATCTATCTCATACCACAACTCTCTTGTCCAGCTCTGGTGCATCCCGAGAACCAGCTTTGTGCATTTTTAAATTATTCCGGCGTGGATGCTGTACGAGTCATAGAGATACTCTGCCCCAGCGGCGGTAACTTTGGGGAGTACTTGTTGGTGTTCCAAACCCTGGCCATTTATGTGGATCTGCAGGGACGCAAGTCTCGGGATAGGGAAATCATGTACCCCGCTTTTCCCACATATATAAGTGAGTAATTTGCAGCTGCTGGCTGAGGGAAAGTGACTCAATCAGTGCTTTGTTTTGCCTACAGCCTTTTGTGACGGCCATTTGTTGGTGTTCTCGGAAACACATTTGGATATCTTTAATACACAAACCGCTGAATGGGTGCAGTCGATTGGCCTGAAGCAGTCGATTCCGCTAAATAATCAAGGCAATGTGGTGCTGTCCTCAGTCAATGACACGCCCTTGATTGTTTATTTGTCCAATATACACACAAGTAAGTGGATCGGATTATATTTCCAACAGTGTGGAGTCTTTATCTGGTTTCGTTTTCTCTTATAGAGGGACTTTTGCAATATCGTGAGGGAAATCGCAAGGGAATGGCAAACATTAAGCGAAGATTTTCCATTCGTGAGATTAATAAAACAATAAAAAGGTATGTCAGATTGCACATAAAAGAACTGTTCAACTAATTGCTAAAATCTATTGACAGCGATCGAAGATCAAAGATGATTTCGGCCCCAACTAATTTCAATCACATTTCGCATATGGGCCCCGGCGAAGGCATACAAAATCAGCGACTTTTAGATCTACCAACAACACTCGAAACAGCCGACTGTAGTCCCATAATACATTCTCTGAGCTCCATACCATCTAGAAAATCAAATTTTCTAGAACAAGGTAATTATAATGAAACCATTTACTATCTATTATTAACCAATGATTGACATTTTCAGTGGATGCTAACTCTGATGACTATGGCAACGATAATATAATCTCTAGAACTCCCAGTCCAATGGCATCGTCATTTATGGACGGCTTAAGCAATAACGATTAGTGTTTCAGTCTATCTCTACATCTACTTATCTAATTTAATCGAATTTTTTTAAGGCAAGCTGTTTGTAATAAACATATTTAATTTCTCGAATATCCCAATGCAGTGTGCGCTCATTTTTGCGTCACTTTATTGAGCAGCTAATCGACGTTTCCATGCATGCGTGGATTGGTGTGTTTGTTTATGTATGCATTTGTTTTTATTTGTATACTAAAGTCTGCATGTTAAATACATACATTTAAAAATCTTTGATTTGTACACAGAAATCATTAGAATGAATTACATTATTATTATTATTTATAATTGTTTTGCAGCTTAGCTTAGATTAAACTCTAAACTAAACTCGGAAACTACTTCTTCGATTTTTTCTTCTTTTTCATTATCTTGCTCTTGCGTTTGCTCTTCAGCTCCTTGCGCTTCTCGCTCTTCAATGAATCGGTTGACGAATATTTAGCATGTTTCTTAAGTTTCTTATCCTTTTCCTTTTGTTTCTCGGGTGCCGAGCGGCCGCTTGCTGGATGCGACGATCCATCATTCTGTATCGTGTTATCATATTTTAAGACTAAATTACTCGACGAACTGCTGTCACCGGCACGTCTAAACGGATTATCTGGGCGGCATGGCTTCGGCGGCGCGGCTGCCACAGACACGGACGACACAATGCGTCCTTCGCCCGACTTGACGCTTCGGACTCCCCTTCGATCCGAGTCGTGGATATTGATCTGATCGAACTTATCGTGGTGCTTGGCGTCCTTGTAAGGCCGCCTTTGTCTATCGCTCTCGGGTAGCGTCCGCCCGCCTCTTGCCTGCTGCGAGTGTCTTTTCTCTGTGGAGAGTGCTCTGTCTCTGTCCCTATCCCTCGATTGCTTGTCCCTCCGCCGGGACCCGCTGTGGGCCCTGTCCGCTCGGCCCCTGTAGCCGCCATCATCATCACCTGCAACTTTAGCCACAATCTCACGCCGTTTGCCTCCTCTGGACTTGTCCTCTGAGCGACTTCTTTCACGCACCACCTTGTTGCCCAGTCGCTCCTTCACGGACTTGCTGCTGGGGCGCTGCTTCGGCGAGAGCGAGCGATCCTTATTATCATTTCGTATGGATACGGAGCGGTCCTTGCTGTTGCCCTTGGAATTTATTACAACTTGAAATTCGACAGGTCGGATGGCGTTTATTGCCTTCGCGAAGATCGCATTCTCTGCCTTGCGTATAACATCCGAGGTGATCTCATTGTGTTCCCCAGTGGAGTTGACAGAGCCCGACCTCTTGAAGCTATCATCGAAATTGCAGGACAAGCTGTTCTCCTCCAGTTCCCACTTGGAAAGGTTCATCGCATTGGCCGACGCAGCGTCACTTCGCTTGCCACCTCTGGAGGAGGCACTGACGTTCTCCTCACCAAAATGATGCTTGTGTGGAGCCTCAACAGCAAATAGAGCCTTAATGGGTTTCACAACCTCATGGCTCCTGCTGCCCTGGGCTGGGGAGTTCGAGGCAGATTCATATTTGTCAAAGCTCTCGGCCATAGCCCTTAGGGGGGGAGTTATCTTACATGTCTGCTCGATTTGTTGCATGCTGTTGAGCTCCGAATCGGATCGATTCATGGACGAACTCTTCTTGGCTCTCTCGTGCTTCTCCTTTTCCTTCTTGACCTTCTTGTCTTTTTTGTTTTTCTTACGTTCAGTCTTGTCCTTCTTTTTCTTCTTGCGCTCCTTCAACGTCAGAGGACTCTTGCTCTTGTTCTCCTTCCCCGCATTTTCGATGCCATCCAAGAAATTGACAGGAGTTGCCTCTGGAACTGCATTCGGACTACGTACCGCTCGGGGTATCGGCTGCACACAATACTCTTCCCGTCCTCTTTCCGGCGTCTTGGGCGTCCGTTCTCTGTGATCGTGGCTGGAGCCAACAGTCGGCTGCCTCGCACCGGTAATTGCTATTTTCGCTGGGGGAGGAGTCAGGCTTCTGAAGCTAGTGTCGATCAGTTTTTGATGCGTTTCCTTACTTCTGCTGCGCGATCTTTGCCGCTTGCGTGGCATATCATCGTCGGCGACAGCACCTCTCTTCGCATGCCCCCCACTGCTGCCCAGGTGGTGCTTCGGTTTATAGGCCGCCGCTTCATCAAACAGCTGCATGCCCTCGAACCCTGGCGGTGGCGGTTCAATTGGATCAAGTCTTGGTGCACTGGGCTTGGAATATGACTTATCCCTGAAGTCTGATTTATACGAGCCCTTTGGGGATATGGAACGACGTGGCGCAGATCTGTTTAAATAGAAAGTACATTAGGAAAGGTTCAATCAAGTGTGGTGTGGTTTGGGTTTTACCTTTTCATTTTGTTTATTGGCGACTTGGAGCCATCGAGACGACTGGGCCGATTGTGTCGCGTGTGTCGCTCGTAGCTATACTCACGCTTTCGTTCCCGCGATCTAGGTCGCTTATCCTTTAGATTGAGGTCTCGCAGTGACTCTTTCTCGTACACGGGCGACTTGAAGCGGTGCGACCTTTGCCTATCCGGCGATCTGGACCTATGATGATCTACGCTACGAAATCTCTCTGACTTCTGTCGCTCCTTCTCCTTCATAATGCGATTGAAGGCCTCCAGAGGATCGTCAATGAGGCTGTGGGTGAAGAGAAGGAGAAAGTAAGGAAAGGAACCAAGAGGAACCACCACAGAGACACTCACCCGGAGCCAACCTTTGCTGCCACGCCCTGATATATAGAGGCTAAATTTGGGGACTGAAACTGTTGGGACATGTTCATGTTCATATTTCCGCCCGAGGGTCCATACTGCGCCCGTATGGGATGCACAGGCTGGTTCTGGTACGGCACAAAGCTGCAAATTTAAAAGTTATTTGCGGGAATCCAAAAGCTTAAGTATTGATTGGTGTAAAAGGAATGTTGTTTTAATAAACCAAAGCTTAAAGTAGAGTATCGTAATAGATTGTAGATTGTAGCTAAATTACAACTGGAGGAGTAGTGCTGCGGTTGTGGTAGCCTCTGCTCGGAGATCCACTCTGCTGGAGATCCCAAGCGGATTAGGAGGAAAACATACCTTAAGGGCGGCCGCTGTCCCATATTATTGTATCCATTGCTGTACTGTGGCGGTATGTGGTGGCCCATCATATGCAATGGGGGCGGACCCCGAGGCATTTGCATATACGGCGGCTTGTACACATTTCCGCGATGCACCTCATCCGGCTCGTTCACCACATGATGACCCTGATAGCTCTGGTGTGTCGAGATGGGCGTGGGCAGGAGGCTACGTTCCCCACGTTCCCCACGTTCATTGTGTGGCTTCCCAGAGTCCGATTGTGATTGCGACTGCGTTGTTGGGCGTCGCTTCATATCGGACTCGGACATGTAATCCATTTTATGCTCGCGTCTGTGGGACACATGATGTGCAGGAGGTTTCCTTGGATACGTGGGGGACATCTGCAGGGATAAAAAGAGTGCGTTAAAGTAGAAACATCTATGTTTTATCTGTACAAGTGAACGCCTCACCTTGCTGGAGACAATCGATGCTGAATCGGCCAGTGTTTGGGGCATCGTTATAGTTATATTATCCTCATAATCCGAATCATATTTGTCCTTTTCTTTCTCCTTTTCCTTTTCTTTTTCCTTTTGTGAGTGATGCGCATTGCCATCTGTTGTGGTTATAGCTGTGGGTTTAGCTTCAGCTGGTTCCAGAGATGTCACCTTGGGCGGATGCGTGTGCTTGTTGCCATTTGTCTCTGGCTGCTCCTCCTGCTTTAGACTCTTTTCTTTGCTGGCCACTTCCACGGCGGCTGGCTCCTTCTCCACCTTCTCCACAATGGGTTTCTCCTCAATGTTTGGCTTCTCTTCGATAGGTTTGTCCTCACTGCCTGGCGGCTTTTCATCAATGGGTTTCTCCACCTTTTTAACTGCAACTGATTTGGAATGGATTTACTTTAATTATCTCTCCACATTATGACCGTGGAAGTGAAATATCTTACCCGATTTGGCGGCACGCATTGTATAGCCAGTTTCGTTTTTGAAAGCATTCACAGAATTTCTGAGGAACCGATTTGGTATCAGGGAACCCGGTGAACAGTTCTTCTCCTTGCAATCCGGGCATTCGCTTTCCTCGGACTCCAGCAACGAATTTCGCACACCTGCGAGTAGTGTAGAGAGAAAATCAATTGGGGTTTGGGTTAAACTACTAGAGGAGTACGTACAGTCGTCGCAGAAGGAACTGCCACAGCAGGGTATCATGACGGCATCGACAAAAATGTCCCGGCAAATGCCGCAGATTAAATCCTCGGGAATTTCCTGACTCTGCTCCGCTGGAATTACAAACATGGCTGCCTCTTCCTCGGTTGCCCTAAAAGTGATTAGAAAATATGATATTTAGCTTGACAACGAAATCAAAGTGTCTTCTGTCATAACTTACGTTTCCGTCTTGTCCCTGAAGGAGCGCGGTATGCCAGTGGTTCGCTTCACCTCAAACTGATCTTTGCCGCCTGTATTCGGGCAATTCTTGATCCAGTGACCAGTTTTCTTGCACTTGTTGCAACGATACGAGGCGGGAACTTCGCCCACTTGAGATTGTCCCTTAATACGCTGATACCTGAAACATAAACAAAAGGATTTATAGCATTAGTTAGTCGGTTAGTGGTGCAGCTACTTACGTCTTTGGGTCATAGTCCACGGTGCTCTGCATCATCATTGCATGGATTTTGTCCTCTTCAGTGCCTTGCATCTTGGAGAGATCCATATTGAAGTTCTCCTGCTTGTTGGAGGAGGCAGCAGGTGCCGCATTTTCGGCTGGCGGCTCCCAGCCCTTCTTCGTGGGATGAGCCAAGGGTATTCGTGAGATGATTAGGGTGGTGTTTTTTGGTATAAGGACTCCATCATCCTTGTATTCTAGGGGAACATAGAGCATGGGAATGTTAGAAGTTTCACTTTTATTAGTAAACCATTTCAAACTTACCTTCTTTTGTCTGCGCATTTGTTATTTGCAGATCAAAGTCTATTATTTTACCCAATCTTTTCTGCTGTACAATTTCCCTTTTCAGATCGCCCACAGAAATGTGAAGTCCGTCGAACGTGATTGTGTCAAAATTGAGTGTACTTTTGAATTTATAATGCACTGACATTTTCAATGGTGGTTATGATCTGAGATAGAAATGATGCAATTAGGAGAATTATGAATATTGTTCTTCCTATATTTATATAAGTTCTGCAAAATTATGGTTTCAGGCATTTTATACATGATGTGGGTAGGCATGTACATATGCATCTAAGTCAGCACAGAAATGAAGAAAGAAGAAGAAGGTTTTGCAACTGGCAGGTAGCATCATCTGATGGCCAAAGGAACTCGAAATTCTGACCAAACATGATGAAAACCGCATTGAGATGGCCAAGAAGACGCTAAAAACATACTTTTGGCATTTGCAAGAACAAAAATAAAAAGGACATGTTGTACTTTCAGCAATTTTCTTTTATTCGCACTGATTGGATCACCACGATAACATTACTCGAACAATGTTCGGCACAATATTCGTACAGCTATATACATACGTACAACTAAACACGCAATGACACCGACTAATCTATTACATAGGGATATGAAAAAAACACTGTTTGAACTTTCGGTTTATGCGACAAGCATACAAATGCGTGAGCATATTTATACGCACATTGTTACATCCACATGTAACTAAATGTGATTTGAAGATCGTACGGCTTAGGTTTACCAAATACACCACACAGCCCCGGGCATTTGCAAGAGATTACCGGTATAATTTAGCACACAAATTGCAATTACTTACACTACTTCACATAAACGTCGGAGTTTTTATTATTTTTGCCTCGACACTATTTCACAGCACTGCACTGGCCTATATCGATACCGCGATAGCTATCGCTTGGAAGTTCGAGGCTCGCACATTTAGGAATGAAATGGAATTGAAATGATACGATAAAGTACTGTCTTGCCGCCTGAATTATTTATATTGGGGACTCGTGAAACTGATTAAGGTTTCGAGTAAGATTGAATTCGAAAAAAGCTAACGTAGTTTCTGAAATTTTAGTACAGGTCAAATACTTAAAATCTATAAACAAACACCAGGTTTGGCCACACAAATGATAAGAGTATGTAAATAATTACATTTGTGATGTGCCAAGCCAGCAGCGATCGATATGGCAATGTGTTAGAGTGAGACGACTATTGTATGCAGCCACTCTTACAGCTCTGTTTACATTTACAGTTGCGGCAGGTCGCAGAAAATAATTATGAAAAGAATTTGTACATTGTTTTCGAATATTAAGTGTGTGATTGTGCTATTTAAACCTGCAAATTGATAAGGAAGAGAATAGAAAGACATGGATTGAAAGAGTAGAAAAATTTATTATGCGAGAAGTTGAACCAAAACTACGACCATATTTACTTGTACAGCTATGTAAGTAATTAGCCAAACAATATGAATACAGCTTATCCATAAACTAACGATAAATATTTACAATTACATCTGCACTTTCTTGTGACAAAGGGTTTAAATTATAACTAATAAAATCTATTGTATTGCATTTTATCACCGCCATTCAACATTTGAACATACACTTAATAATTAAAACAAAAATTTCAATTAGAGCAATCGAGTATTGATTTAGGTGCTCGTTCTTACAACTATTTAAATATTAACCAACGTATGCAAATGGATTATATGGGGGTGGATAGAAGTTGGGAAAGGATCCTGAAGGATGCTGAACAGGAATTGTTGCTGTGATTAGCTTAGTAACTTGTGTTGGTACAACGGCAGTTGAAAATATTGTGGTATAAGCGGTTCTGGCACCAAATGTCAATTTCAGAACCTTGGAGCTCGTTTCGGTGGCCATTGTTTGCAGAATTTCAGTGGACGTAATCAGCTGCTGTGGCTGCATGGGCAATAACGGGTTATAGAACGGATTTATTGAGAACGGAAACTGTGACGTTGGCACCGCAAGTGGGGTTATGTCGGTAACGTATTCTGTTTTCTCGACCACTCCCACAGACTTGGAGAGTGTGCGCATAATGGTCTCAGTGCCTCTCACTAACGGCACCACATGCGACTCCCAAATGGTTTCCAGTTTAATAACGGGACGCGTTGAAGTTACGAAATTGTTTACTGGTGCTTGGCTCTCCGTAAAATGTAGAGTTTCGGGTAACAATGGGTTGGTGAGGTTGCTTAAGCCCTTAATTTCCACCTTGTTTTTCGGTTTAATTTTCGCATCGAACTTTCCGGTATTATCCTCATCGCCAAACTCCAGATCCAAGTTCAACTCTGAACCAGCCTCATCCAAATTGCCTTCAAAGTCCTTAAAGTTCTTGGGACTAAAATCTTCGCTCAACGGGGATATTGTTTGGGTGACTGTTATGAGGCTGGTATAGTCGTACGTTTGCACCAGCGTCACATGGATGGTTTCGTTTCTTTTCTCGTTGATTATAGGCAGAATCTGTGTCTTCAGTTTTGTTTGTGTTATGGAAAATGATTCAGTTATTGTCTCCAAACTAGGGGTCTCTGAGCCATCTTCAATGTAGATCGGTTTCAGCGTTGATACACTTCCATCTAAAGGCTTATCGTCTGTCTGCGCCGTCGACTCCAAAATATTCTCCGTCAGCGGGCCATCATCTTCTGAGTACTCCTTCGTGTGCTCCTCCCGTATTACCTTTTCTATCGTTGATGTGACGGTCAAAAATCGCGTTTTCTTCACCACACCAGCCTGAAAGAAAGAGCATAAATGTGAGTGTAATGGAAACAAGTCAAATAACTAAAACACATTCGAAATTACCTGGAATATAAACGGGCTTTTAATTGTAGCAATTTCGTAGTAAGTGTCAATAAAAGGCTTTGGCGTGGATATCTCAACATTTAATGTTTGCACAAAGTACTTTGATTTCTGATCGTCGTTTTCGTTTTGATTGGCCACTGGACCATTTTGGGAACCAGAGGCCTCCAAATCCCTTCCACTGTTTAAAACCTTCAGAATCTGCTCCGGATTGTCGCTTCCGATTGGAGCTTCCGCCAAGTTTTGCTCCACGTGGGCTGCCGTATCGTTAATTTGGCTGGCGATCGGACTGTTGGCGCTGGTATTCTTCCTAATGTTAACCTTAGGCTTTGGAGAGGTCTTGTATTGCCAGCGGCCAGGACGCCTATTTAGCTTAAAGGTGCCCGCACTTGGGGCTGTGACGGCCTCTTCCTGCAGACTTGTGACTTTCGAGCGATACGAGTGACGGGCAGTTTCCTTTGCCGATGCAGTAATCAATATCATGCTATTTTGCGTTGATTTATGTCGCCTAGGAAAAGCAATTGATTTTGGTAGGTGATCAAATAATTATTCTATAATCTATTATTACCTTTTTCCTTTTGGGCGCGAAGATTTTCTGGTGCTGGATCCCCTGTGATCCCGGCTGCCTTGGGAACTTTTCCGTGAACTCTTCGAGACCACAGTCTGTGATGATGGGGATTCTTTTACGGTTTTACTGGGCTGAATCGTTGATGTCTTATTAATTCTGGTCTGCCGGGGCTTGCTCTTTTTCTCTGCATTCGATGAAGTTATGGACTGAGGAACTTTCGTAAAGCGTCCCGATTCCTTTGTCGAAGTTACAGCGTTTCTAGTCTGATAGCCATGGACACTTTCCTTTTTGGACAGATAATTTCTCTGACGCTCAGCTTCATTTTTGCCCTTAAAGTTAACCACGCGATACGATTCCTCGGCAAACTGCTCGGGTTGACGCGAAAGCAGATCGTATTCGGGTGTGCTCAACAGCGTTTGGATCGGAGAATTTGATGTACTTGTGTTGTAGGATTCACTTTTCGACGTAAATGTTTCCGGAGGAACATTTGACTCACTCAAAATGAGAGGCGTTGGCTTGATTATCTCCTTTTCCTTTTCTTGTTTCGTAAATTTCGGCTTTGTTTCAATGATATTGATAATGTTGTTTGTGTTGTTGGGTTTTAGTTCTAAAATGTACAACAATTAAACGTTAATTTACCATTTAACATCAGTTTGTACCCCCAAATTTAAAGGCTAAGAATTAAAATATAAACTCACCAAAGTGTGGGGAACTTTGAGGTGAAAATACCATTACGGTATTCCCAATGGTCGTTGTAAAGTCCAAAAATCCATAAACAGTTTGAGTAAGTAACTCATTTTCGCCACAAGATGCTGGCATCAAAATACACATAATAATACAAAATTAATTAAAAGCTTTACTATTTAAATATATTTGTAAGATTTATCTTTAATTAACTTACCGCTCCTTAAAGCACTGAGCATAAGCAAGTAAATTAGCATGGTTGCAAAGGTGCACAGATTTAAAGTTGGGGAAATAATTTAATTAATCTGAAACAAATTAAAAATTACAAACAATACCCATGCCAAGTGATCAACTATCATTTATAATGGGAATTAAAATAATTAAGTGGGAATATATGACCAAAACGGTAGGCATTCAATTAGGTTTCACTTCAGTTAATTGCCTGTGGCTTTTATGCAACTTCTTGGATAATGTGCCGTTGTATTACTAATCGCTTTTGTGTCTTTCTTTTTCCGGCTATCTACGCATATTATTCAATGGTCATTTGGTAATCTCTGCACGATTCCACAAGCCAGGCTGCCAGTTGATCTTTATTGAGATCAATAATAGCTCCAAATAAGTAGGACGAACTTTTGCGACAAATGAACGCAACAAAAACCTCTCCGCACCAAACCACACCGTACCGTAGAGCAGTGCCACCATCCGTTGGCATTGGCTCAGCTCAGCTCAGTAAAGGTGATCGTTCACATTTTTAGTAGGGTGTCTGTTTGGTACGCGAATATTAAAACATTTTTACAGTGCCTTTCGCTCGACTGCCTCTCGGCGCTGCTAGGGGATGTGGGTTGATTCTTGCTTAGGTGGCTGGCTTGCCAGTGCTTTGGTCACTTGTACACACTCGTACATACTCCACATTATGCGTCAAGGTCTCAACAGATTGTCAGTGAGCGATCCAGTCAGCGATCAAAAAAGTCTATGCACACACAGTTGCCAGCCAAAATGTTTGAACGGGCCCGTAAACTTTTGTTAGCCACCGTATGTAACCACTCACAGACACACACAAAGACAAGACAATGAAACATTTGGTCATTGAGAAACATTGAATAGAGAAAGGCCTACACAAATATATCATTATTCCCAGCTACAGCTAGCAAAAAAACACTGTTTCATTTAATTGGATAATTCACTTAAACACAGAAAAGTGTTTATATATTTAATGTTGTTTTATGTTTGTACCAATAAAAGACTTAGACACATACATTCAATGCATTTGGAAACACACGCAACGCATAGCCATGTAGTCACTTCACTTCGTTATATGCACTGCTTCAACAACACACATTTCACACACTCTCTGGCGGGTGGATTATAGGAAAAAACAGCAATGTAACAGAAACAAAATACGCGCAAAAATAAGCTTTTACATATATTTACTTATATGCACAGAGTGTGATTTTGTCCAATGCGATTTGGTCCGCTGTCTAAGCCACGACGAAGCATAAAGTACCTCTGACAACGTTACCACGGCATGCACACATGCGCAGGCGCCACACGAAGAGAACGTCAACATCATTATTTTGTGGTGCCCCGCAGCACTAGGGTTACTCACGCTACACACGCTGCGTAAAAACCAGTTTTATTTCTTCATTTCAATACGCCCCATGGGTCTCGGTTTCAGTTTCGGTTTCGTTTCGTTACGAACAAAATATCGTGAGGCCATTTTAGAGATTTTTGTACTGCTAAAACCTAAAAAATACTCGCATTTAACTGAGTAAAATTAAAAACATACAGCCATATAGTTAATAATTTATATCTTATGAAATGCACTGAAATCTAAGAGAATTTGCATTAATAGAAACTCTTGTTTGTTTGTTATCCATGCATTTATGTTTAATATTTAACATTTTTAAACCATTTTCGAACATTTATTTAATTAAAAATTCGACTGCTGATAAATTGAATTTGAATTAGAAGAAAGTTTGAATTAGCAAACACTTTTGGATAAGTTTCTGCCACATAATGCACTTTCTTTTTGGTGGTCTGGTCAGCTGGAGAGTAACTGCTGCAAATAAAACTCACATGTTAATATATGTGAGGAATATTATTCCTTCCACTTGCCTTTATGTCTGTTCATTCTGCGTACGTGTCATTTGGTTTGATTTTCATCCACTTGGGCCAAACGATTCTGGCAGCAATCGTAGGCCAGGCCCATGCCAATGCCCATGCAGAGCCAGATCGGATAGGTTCGGGGCCGTGTGTAGAATACCGTAAAGAGAGTGCCGATTATCATCCCGCTGGCACCCTTCATAACAAAGTCCGTAATGCATTTATCTTTGGTGTCTCTGTTGCTGGCCGCACTAGCCGAAGTCTCAGCCACACGAGGCAGCTGCTCGTTCCTTGACTCGGAAGTTTTTCGATCTGTATTCATTTTGTTTGGATGTTGCGTTGTTTGAGAAGTTTTGTATTAGATTGACATATCATCAAAGCGTTGCTATAGATTGCCAAAAGTTAGCTAGACATTTTCTAGCCTTTCTGGCAATAATTTCTTGACTTGGCTGGCAACCGAGTGGGGGACAACGGCAACAATGGGTTAACAGCATTCTGGCAGCCTGACGTAGCCGAAAATAAATAAACACCAACCACACAGAGAATGAAAGGCGAGATGGATGACGATGAAGGACTTGAGTGACTGAGTGACTGCCATAGTTACTAAATCCTAGCAACAATATTTTTTTCATAGCACCAATTTTCACCATGGCAACCACGGAGGTTCGCGTGTCGTGTCGTGCTGGATTTCAGCAGTGTCGTTTAACTTCAAAACACAGAAAGATGTGAAGGATACGTACGCAAAATGGAGTGCAATAGAAATTTCCTAACATTTGTAGCATTCGTTTTCCATTTAGTTTGTAGCTTTTTCAGCACTCAGGTGCTCTGTGTGGATGCACCGTTCATACACATTCCGGGAAATGGCGTTATCTCGGGAACATATTTGAAAATGTTTCGAACTCAAAATATTAAGGCTTATCTCGGTATACGGTATGCCCACGCTAGGAGATTTTCGCCTCCCGATGTCGAGCTAACGCCCTGGAAGGGCATTTTCAACGCAACCACATTCGGTGCGGACTGTTTGCAACAGAATCCAATGCCTTCCATGGGTCCAGAAACTGACCAAATTCTGAAAATCTTGTCCTCCGAAACCCAGCAGGGTGGGAGTGCCAGGAAATATGAAGAAAACTGTTTGTATCTGAACGTTTTTGTACCTGATGGTGAGTGGAATTTTACTTTATTCAAAATATTATGATGAATATCTTAACTCATTCTTTACTTTTCTTTCCATTATTTTGCTTCAGGATTGCCCGAAATTAATGGATATGCCGTCGTTGTGTGGATCCATTCCGGGGATTTCTCAACCGGCAGCCCCATTGATGTGAATCCATTTCAGCTGGTCTTCAAGCAAAAGGTGATTGTGGTAACCTTTTCGTATCGTCTGAACATTTTCGGATTTTTTACAACCGACGATGGCGAGGCGCAGGGCAACTATGGCCTCATGGATCAGGCAGCGGCCCTTTACTGGGTGAAAAAGAACATCAATTTCTTTGGCGGAGACACAAATCGCATCACACTGATGGGCCACGATGCCGGAGCCATTAGCGTGGCGCTGCACATGACCTCGGGCGAGTGGTCAAAGGGGGGCTTCCAGAAGGCCATTATAATGTCGGGCAATCCACTTAATGCTGTGAAACTACCAGCGGACTACGAAGGCTCACTGGATCAAGTATCGAGCACCTTCGGCTGTCCACGCCGGCCCACTTCCATGTTTATGCAGTGCCTGAGGAAGATTGACGCACAACGATTGTCCGAGAACCTGCCCGTCGTGAGTTGGGGTCCCGTGTTGGACTTTGGATTGAGCAACACTTCGTATCCGTTTATCGAGAACCAGCCGGAGATATTATTCAAACGTGGCAGCTACCACAAGGTGCCCGTCATCATTGGCGTAACCGACATGGAGGAGGTGTTGACGCTGTTTAAGGACAATCTCGATGCTGAAATCAGTGCCGCCGACCTGGAGGGTTTCTACAACGACATAGCCGTCAATGATATGCACAAGCTGGTGAAGAACTACGAATGGTGCTCCAACTACGACTTGATTGCAGAGTCAATCCACTTTATTTACGACAACGACACGGACAAGGACATGAGAAAGTCAAACAAACACATCATCAGTGCACACACCGAGAAGTTTTACATTACGCCGATGCAAATGTTCGCTGAAATGATTGGCAAGGATCAGCCCGTGTACAGTTATGTGTTCAAGCGACGCCCCGAAAGCTTGCTGCAGGAACTGCCCCGTTGGATCAGTGTGCCCAAGTATTTTGATCAGGTGTTTGTTTGGGGCAATCCTTACATGACCAACACCGTCAATTGGAAGTCTGCCGATAAGAAAATTGCTGAGATAATCATGACTCTGTGGGCAAACTTTGCAAAGACCTCGAACCCAACCAAGTCCAATGTGTACATCAAGTGGAATGCCATGAAGCCCAGCAACGATTCGGTGCTGCTGATCGATGAGAACTTTAACACGGACAATTTGCACAACAATCAGCGTATCCATTTTTGGAAGTCGCTCTACCCCAAGATTCTGTACTACTCAGCCGATTGCTGCAATTCCACAAACTCAGGTGGCTCATTGCTGATCACGAAAACCCTCACCATAATATCCACACTTTCCATAATTGTTAAGCTATTTTGAATAAAGGTTTCTGCTAAAGAAAAAAGTGCAATATAATAGAGCAATGGTTTCAATATATTATAAGTTGATTCTTTCGTTTATTTCGATCGCCATAATATACATACACACACATGTCGAGTTCGCTTTTAAAGTTACTTAATTTAGTTATGTTTACTATCTGTAGTTGTTATACTAAACAACACCAATGACGCCTAAGAAATATGCATGACTTTGGAGCTTTTATGTCATGCATAAATCCCAGAAATACAATACTAAACGTAGAATTAATCGAGTACAGCCTCGTGCAAAGTGTCCGTTTGAAGGCTGTCAACCTGGAAATGGCCACAATTTGGAGCATTTGTTGGCGTACCTTTTGTTGGCAGTCTTGTAAACGCACACTTTAGCTCGTTTAGGCCATGGTCAGGGTGCCAGCGCCGATGCCGTAGCCCACACCCTTTGGTCCGTAGTTCTTGCCGTAACAGGAGCGACAGTAAATGTTGCCATCGGGTCCGTCGTTCAAGTTGGTCGAGTCCAGATACTTGCGGCAGTCCGAGCAGTAGAAGCAAAGCTTGTGCCAGATGCTGTTCTTGGACTTCATCGACTCGGCCGCAAACACGATGTAACCGCAACGTGGACAACCATCCTCCGACTGACCACCACAACGATTGAGCTGTCCCCAACTGCAACGGAAAATACATCAGCTGGAAGCTGTTAGCTGACAGCAGGGTGCATCCCGTACCTGGATGGTGTATATTCGTAGCTGGTGGAGACCAGAGCTGGCGTGTGTCCGTATCCAACGCCCTTGGGCCCAAAGAGCTTGGCGTAGCATAATTTGCAGTAGATGTTGTCATCGGGTCCGTCACAGGCCAGCACCGAGTCCAGTGGCCGATGGCACTTGGCACAGCTGAAGCACTGGCGATGCCACATCTTCCCTTTGGACAATTGCAGCTCGGCGGCAAATACGGCTCCACCGCAACGTGGACAGCCCTCGCCCTCAGGTGCCTTGATGGATGTCGTATCGGGACACACAAAGGGTCGCTGCGATACGTCATCACTAAGGGGGGAAAAAGCAAGAAATTATACCCTACTCAACCAAATAATGTCGTGTGCCCACCTAACGCCATCGGTTTGAAGGAATCCATAGCCACAGGCAAAGCCGTAACCATGCGGACCCCATTTTTTGCCATAGCACGTCTTGCAGTAGACGTCGTTGTCCGGTCCGTCGCACGCGATAATTGAGTCGAGGGTCTTTGTGCAGTCGCGACACTTGAAACACTTTCTATGCCACGGCCTTCCCTTTGACAGGACCTGCTCGGCGGCGAACACAACACCGCCGCACCGCGGGCAACCCTCACCCAGTGGCGCCTGAATTTGATCCACATGTATGGCAGCGGTTTTCGGTGCCAAATCACTAAACAAAAGAGGCCAAAAGCATGTCGAATGTTACTAACCCAAAGCCATAAAGCTTAATGGCTAAATAAAACCAAAACTTAATAATAAATTAGTCATACCTCTGCCATTCGCAGTCTTTAATGTCGGACATTAAGCCATTCAGCTGGCCATAGCCGCGTGTGCCAAACTTTGGGGCATAACATCCTGCAAAAAGGATAATACTTGTTGCTACACTCTATGAACTGTGAACAGTGAGCAATACCTCGACAGTAGATATCTTTGTCGGGGCCATCACAGTGCAGGGTGGAGTCGAGTGTCTTGTTGCATTGCACGCACTTAAAGCATCTGCGATGATAGCCCTGGAATCAAAATGCCACCCAAAACGATTTAGCCAGAGGCTATACTTATACAAAAACTTGTTACCTTCCCTCTGGCTAGCATTTGTTCTGCTGCATAAACATATATGCCACACCTGGGACAGCCTTCCCCATCGGGCGCTTTTGGCGGAATTTTTGGTTGAACAAACCTATAAATGATTCAGTGAGTGATTCAGATCAGTTGCTGCTTTCCTTTTTGCTCAATTAAACGAGTACGAGTGCCACTGCCACTGCACAATACAAACAAAAAGAAACGAAGACACACAGAGTGATATCTGGCCAACTTAGCAACAGATTTTGGGCACGGCAAGGTCATTGGGGGAAAACAATAATTACCAACAAATAAATACACAAAATATACACTTTATTTTTTTTTTTGCAACCATCTTAAACATTGTGTACCAGTGGACAAACAGAACCTTAACCTTAAACATTGAATTGCAGTTCAATTCGATTCGGGCCTGGGCTAGAGAGGGGGATCCATTAACCATCACACAGGTGACAAATTTATAGACGAATTGTAGACGTAAATAAAAAACAGAAAACATGTAACACATACAGGTTCTAATAGCAAGCAAAACTACACATTTAATTCAAGGAATTTTACACTTTTCATACAAAAACATATTTTATTTATTAGTCCTTACTCTCTGTTGAGGTGAGAGCCAGTGTCCATGGACAGGCAACCGGCACCACCACCGAAACCGTAACCCTTAGGTCCGTATTTGCGTCCGTGGCAGTTTTTGCAGAACAGCTCCTTCTCGTGCTCGGTGCAGTTTGTGGAGTCCAGAGCCTTGTTGCACATGCCTATACACAAGTTAAATGTAGATATATAGATCCATCGTTTTGGTAGGGTTTCCCCCTTTATACTTACTGCACTTGAAGCATGTTTTATGGAATTTGTAGCCACCAGCAACGCGCTCCTCAGCGGCATAGACCGACTTTCCGCATGCTGGGCACTTGGGAGTTTCCACGGGAACAAAAGGCATTTTGATGTGTGTGTGTGTGTGTATGTCTGAGGGGTCAAAGTTGGGGAAACAGAAACTTTAATTAAATGCAATTTAATTTTTGTATATTCGATGACTGCGTTTCAGTAATAAATATTGCACGAGCAGCCAGAGAGGAAAAACGTTGCACATATGTACGTATGTATATACGCTATGTATATATGCACTAATGTATGTATATAGTAGATGGTGATGTATACCTTCGGAGGTACTTTTGTGAAGTAGTTCCTATTCGTCGGAAATGCCGCGGACTAGACTGGAAAGATTCTGTACACAGGTAGTCTATATTTGTGGATGCACACGGCACAACTAAGAAAATACAGTTTGCGTAATAAAAACAGCACTTTCTGAATATATCATTATTTATCATGCAATACATGTTCATGGTACATACACACATCCATACATATGTATGCATATACATATTTATGTGTACATCGCATTTGGTTGGCTTTACTGTTATTCTACTGCTTGCCTACTGCTTGCCGGTAGTAACTTTAGTTGCCATTAAAATTCTCTCGCTGCTATTGGGAAACAATGGTGTGATTTTCCATTGTGTATTTCCATATATTGATCCATAAGACTCTAAATATGTTTTTGCATATATACAGATGTGTACGTATGTATGTATTTATAAATTGCATATGCAAATTGTATCTAAAATTGTGTGTCCGTACGTGTATCAAAGTAATTCTGCACAACGGACAATTTATTAGCTGTCTGCACGCACACTAAGCTGTACTATAAAGAGAGAGTGAGAGAGGACTTTATGTACATACATATATGTATGTATGTTTAGTCTATAAATATATACATACAGTCATGCATACATAGGATATTGTATGCATGTACCAATGTACATTCATGGCCTTATTTTAGGCGTCTCTAAAAATATATAAATAACTCATAACTGCTCAACCCAGTTCCATAAATAAATACCTTACGCAGACATTTCTTCATATCGAAATATATCAATATGTATGTACATATGTATGTTTCTTGCACATTGTGTACATCTCTTTTTTGGGGGGCTTTTCATTTCCTAAATTCATATGAGCAGACATAAATACGTTTATGGCAATTGTGGGAGGCGGACGAAAAGCTATAACAAAACCAAAACAGAGATTCATCTGTTCATCTGACTTTATAGATGGATTTACATATACATATGTATAATGAATAAAATTAGATATGTACAATGCACAGACCGCTGCGAACGGGGTCAAAAGGCCATGTTTAAATCCGTTTTGTAATAAAAAAAGAGGAACATATGTGCACATACTTATATTTACCACTGCTTCGCGATCTATCTATTAAATTTGATCGAAAACACACTTGTATGTATGGATATTGTGTGCAAATAATCCAGTTTGTAAATGCATACATATTTACATACATACAATGTATGTAAGTGGATCACATACATATGTACGTATGTAGCCACCAAGTCTTAACGATTGATATCTGAATGTTGCGTGTTTTTATGGGAAACTAACAATGCTCTTTTGTGCAAATTGGTAGCCATTAAAATACATATATTAATAATCTTGATACCCTTCGAAAATCAGTAATTTAGAAAATGTATGCATAATGTGGGTGTGCCCACAGACTACACACCTACCCAAACAATATTTAAATCTATAAATAAATATGTATTTATTAATTGTAAATCGCTCAATTGCGTTTGGCAATGAGCCTAACAATTTATGAAGGCCAGATCTACGATCCGATCTACGGGTATGCATGACTCGTGAGGTAAAAACAACAACAATTACGGCAACAGACACTGATTGTGCTGGCAACTGAAAATCTATTGAAACTAATTCCGCCTCACAGCGCTGTGTGTGTGTGTGGTGCTCATTAAAAATGGGGAATTTGTGACGAAAAACGAGTACTCCTTTAACAATTAAAACTAACAATTAAACCATCTATCACTTGATGCAATATTTAAGCAACACAAGCGGTCATTCACCTGTTGACAGTTATTCGACCAGCTTAGGCCTCACCTTCAAGAAATCTCAACAGTTGCGAGTCGCTTTCGACTCAGCAAACTTAGCATAACAAAAGAAAGAAATCAATGAATGTCACAGCTGGCATCGCCTCGGATCAAGGGAACACCTCACACTGTTCGTATTAAGATAAGATAAACATTTGGCTTTTGGCTGGTTTACCAGTATATCAAATATAATTTAATCAGTTAATATACTCGTACGGATAGCTATTTACATTTGACTTCATCTTTTAT